AGCCCAACTAAAAAGTATAATGGGCTTCTCTTGAGCATGGGCCCATTCTTCCTGTATCCTCTTGGCCATAGCCCTAGTAGTTGGGCCTTTGGCCCATGGGCCTCCTCCATCACAAACTCTAAAGTCTGTCGTAGTATTTTAGGTTAGATTAATCGATTATCACCTTAAGTGTGATTTCTGACAAGGCTTGCAGGCTCCAAGGCTAAACTTGGGCCGGTCGTAAGTCAACCACTCCCTATGTTTAATACCTTTATGCCCCCGGGTGTAGGGGGACTATTGTGTGCAAATGTTTGTGTACAATTTTTATTCACATAGATGCAGAATTTAAATAAGCAAACAGATATTAAAGTCGTACAAGTAACACAAACAAGTGTAGGGGATGAGATATTTAAAATATAATTGTTATTATGCTAATTTCATCATATATTTGGGCTTGAACCTTTTTAAAATTCCCCAGCAGAGTCGCCATCTATCGCAACCCAAAAATTTTCGATCTTGCGACCTATGGTTTAGACATCCTTTCAAAAATCTCATCAATTGAGGAATGCCCGGACACCAAACTAACTCTTAATGGTTTTGAAAAATAGGTTCTTAGGAGTCGCCACTAATGTTTTACTCAAAACATTGGAAAAAGAAAAGGTTTTCGAAAGTCCAATAATGGCCTTGATAACCAAAATTAGGTTCGAGGGTCGGTTACGTGTAGGGAAGGTATTAAGCACCCGTACAACATCCTCAATCGGTACCCTTATGATGAAGTTAGCATAGCAAGAATTAATAAGTTAAATATTTGATCCCCTTTATTAATGGTTATTTACATGCTTGAAATTTAAATTACACAATTGACCCTAAAATGTCTACATGATTGCTTTTATTATAACAATGTCTATCAAATATGAGAAATAAAAGAGAAAGAAGAAGATTGATTGAAATACCTTGTAGCAAGCTTTGTTAGATCTTCAAATATGGAAGTTCTAGGTGCTTTCTGCAAACCTTTCACACTACACAAAGGAGTCTTAGACGAAATTTCAAGCTCAAAGGAGTCTTGGACAAAATATAAACATTAGAAGTGGCCAGAACGGCCTGTTCCAGATTCAGAATAGCCTGTTTTGGACCCTTTGTTATGTGTTAATTTTGTATCTGGAACGACCTATTCTTAAAATAGAACAGCCCGTTCCAGAGTTGAGTTAAACACATAACTGCCTATGCTGGAACGACCCGTTCCAAACTAGGGTTTTAGGCATTTTTAGTAACTTAGAATGGCCCATTCTAGGCTACTAAAACTAATTTGTTTGGGCTTCGAGCTTCCTTGTTGTCATATGGTGTTGCCTCCATACTTTGGGAGCTCCTCGTCTTCATAGTAGACATCCATTTCATTACTTTTGTTGTTCCGGAAGAAATTGGGTGTCTACACACTATAATCATAGTTATGAGACATCTTAGACAAAGAAGATTTAACACAAAAAGATTTTTAAAAACAAATATTTATGGTGCTAGACTTAGCACTTGGAGGTCTAAGTGATGGAGGACCATCCTTGAAGAATCATATAGGGCCTATCACAAGGTACATGGCTAGGAGAGTAGAGGAAGATGAAGAACACACCACACCAAAGGCCATGATCATCATGTGTGTGGAATTTGAGCCCTCTCCTTAATTTGTTGCTTTCTTTTCCCATTTTGCCCTTGTATTTTGGGGTACATTAGATATTAGGATTTTATTTTGTATTTTTATTTAGCCTTTGCATTATGGGGCAAAATTAGTCTTAAGATTTATTTTAGGACTTAAGCCTTATTTTTAAGGTCAAAAGTCCATTTCTTTCATCTTTTAGACCTAAGGGTACTTTAGTCTTTTAGAAGGGATGAGAGCTATTTCATTTAGGATGCATTTAGGGTGCATTTGGACTCCAAAATTTTGGCCAAATGCTCCCAAGAAACCCTAGATGCCTTTCTCTCCCTATAAGTACTCTAGGTAACCCACCTTGTAGCCACTTTGGAAATTAATGATATTGAGTGAGCCTTGTGCCTCTTTATTCCTTCCTTAGTCCCCTAGGAACTCCATGGCCCCCTATCCTATCCTCTCTTCCTTGAGTGAGCTTGGGTCTTCCTTGGTTGGCCTTCATCATCCTAAGTGAAGTGAGGTAGCCTAAAGGAGTTGCACCACCAAACACCTTCCCCTCCAATCCTCCATTTTGTGCGTCAACCTTCACCTACCTAAACACCATCTCCACCACTTCCATACCCTTGAAGAGATCACCCTTCATGTCATCTCAACCTTGGAGGAGAGAAGGAATCAACCATTAGCCCTCATGGAGAAGTTGGTTCCATCACTAAGTATACAAATTGAACTTTGGAGGGAGGTGAGATATAAAGAGCCACTTCATAACCAAGCCTCTTCAAGTAAAAATTACTAAACCCCCTTGTACCTTGTCTTACAAAAAACATTTTTGAATTCAAACCCGAACCTCGTTAAAGGTCGAGGTCAAATACAGACCTCAACATCCTTATTTAAGGTTGAGTCCGAACCTTAATAAAATCGTTTCAACCAAATTGAGGTCGAGTACGAACCAAATCCGAGGTCGAATACGAACCTTAACACGTTTATTCGAGGTCGAATACGAACCTTAACGTATTTGTTTAAGGTTGAATACGAACCTTAAACACGCGAACTTGAGGTCGAGCCCGAACCTCGGAATGATCGAGGTCAAATCTGAACCTCGGCACTACTACTTAAGATCAAGCTTGAACCTTCACGAAAATCTAAGGTCAGGTTCGAACCTCGGCTTATTACGGTCAAGTTTGAACCTTCACAAAAATTACTTAGATCTAAGATCGAATTCGAATCCTGGTTCGATTGAAATCGAGTTCGAACCTTCACGAGAAACTACTTAAAATTAATGCCGAATTCGGATCTCAGCATGAGCTTTCACCAAAAATGAGAGTGTACAACAGACATCGAACGTGTGTCTCAAAATGTGTGCAAAGCAAAAACCAAACGCAAACACCTAACGGCAGAAGAAAAATATGCATATACAAGCAAAGTTCCCAGAGTTCAACGCTTGAATTCCCAACAGAAAAATCAAAGCAAAGGGAAAATTAAACTAGGTTATAACAAAATTGGCCTACGTAGAGGCATTCTCGCTGAAGCTATCCTCCACGTTGTCCTCCTTGACGAGCTCGGTCTTAACTCCTCGACTTACGGCCTTCAGAGCTCGGGGGGCTAGTGTACTGACCGTACTTCGCACCCTGGCTCCGAGCCCGGATTAGCGATACAAAGCCACCCCGGGCACACGCTGAGCGACGTCAGCCCGGTATTTGGGGCCCGGTATTTGGGCAGATCATTCCCGAACCCGGGGATCTCGTCCCAGATCAGAACCGCCCTCCAATTATATCATATCATATCTTATCATATCATATCATATGATATCTTATCATATCATGTCTTATCTCATGCCCAAGGCCCAAGACAACCCTAATTCACACAAAGGTATGTGCATTATTTATACGAGACTCATACTCCCACAAACACTAACTTTAGCATCGGAGTCTCTTTTGCAGGTACCACCCCCATCTTGGAGCACCAGCGTACCAGTGAAGGAGACTCGCCGATCTTACCCGGCGGATCAGCTCTACAGCAAATTTCCAGTAAGAACAATACACAAAGAAGAAAATGACTAAAGAATTTTACCTCTATCATAAGTCCATTCTTCTTGTAACCTCTTTGACATTGCCCTTGTAATAGGATCTTTGGGAGCAATATGTCATCACCAACTAGTGTAGGGACTTTATTGTAATTATTCTCTTTGTGTGATTTTTGGGCCGAGAGGTATAATTTAAATTTAGGCCAAAGATTAGTATTTGAATTGATTTGATCCATCCATGTGGCTGACCAAGTGAAAATGACACACATGTAAAGATTAAATCAAATTCAAATATTAATCACAAACTAATATAAAATAAATAATTTTTTATAGACAATTTTATGTTATTTTATACTAAGTTTATACTTTTTATAACATTAAACAATTAAATAATAAAGAGAAATTTAATGTATAAATTTTCAATCAACAGTATACTTTTTATAACATTAAAACTTAAACAATTAAATAAAAATATTTATATTATCTATTTAAGTAATTAATTTTCTTTCCATAATTTAAAATTATTATTTTTCTTATTTCAAATCTAGTTCTATGAATTTTATATCTTCATTCTATTACAGGTTAGGAAAGCCTCTCTAACTTGCAAATTTTTCTCGTGAATTTTATGAATATTTGTTTTACTAATTTTATTGATTTTCTTGGAAATTTTGTCTAGCTTCGCCACTTTCTATCGTTAATAAATATAATAATAAATGTGATAGAATGATGTAAACATAAAAACTAATGCTATACAAATTGTTGCAAGTATTATTTCCTTTTTTTTTTCTCGGGGAAAATTTAAACAACCATCTTAAATCTATGAAACCTGCACCATTTTGATGGTAACTCAAGTATTCTATCTGTTTCATTTTGCTTGACGACCTGAGGAATACAATTAATAAGGTTGATTCCATAAAATAAGTTGTATAAATTTCCAAAATACTTTTAAGTCTTTCGAATCCACCAATAATTAAATAATACTTTAATAATAGTTAAAAGTATAATTGAATAAACATTTAATGTTACATTGATATTATAAAACTACAATTAAATTAGAACAAACAATAAATGTTAAAATGTCAAATGAACAGAGTATAACTTAAGTCTTACTCGATGAAGCCAAATGATAAAAATAAAAATAAAAATAAAAAAACAATTTGCATGTAAAGGGAGCTGCTTGTGTACATTAGGAGTACAGCGCACGAGAACATGAAATATATACTTGTACTGATGTTTTTCAATATTTTAAATTGTTTGTCAAATACAAGGGAGAGAGATGTTTCACCTTTAGTATTTTAGTATAAATATTTAAGCACATTTATTGTATTGCACTATTGAAAAAAAAAACAATTAAACAACAATATCTCTCCAAATTATAACCAGCAATTGGCTGGAAAATAAATAAATAACTAACCTTAGTCATCAATTATGTCAAAAATTTCTGACCTGTAGTTATAAATTATGTCTCAACTTCACCACTTACTCCAAACTGGGAGCATTTGTCACACTACAAACAAAACAATGCTTATCCAAACTATAATAAGCAATGAATTTTTTAGCCCTTAGTCATAAATATATCTCAACTTCTCCACTGACTCCCAGTTTGAAGCAGTAAATTCTGCTAAACATTGAACCGAAACAACATTACATCTCCTTCTTGTACAACATAGTCTTTACCTTCGGACCTTAACTGCAAAAATCATAGCAAAGGGAACTAATTTCCTGTTTAGAGATTTGTAAAGAGGATATAGAAATGGCAATAAACACTCCCTTTCATTTCAACACATACAGATTATTTAAGGATGCATGCTCTTCCTTCCCAAGCCTACTATTATTCCGATACGGATAAGTAAATATGAAACAGCAGAGAATTGATCACTTAGGTTTTATCTTAATCAAAGAAAATAAGAGAAATATTGAAAAAATGGTTCCAACCTCTGGTACAAGGATAGCGTGCAGTGTATTATATAACCTAATTAATATGCCAGCAATGTACAAGTTCAGATTATCAATTAAAAGACACAAGCATGGGCGAAAACAATAGTATAACTCTTGATTAAACCAACTAATTCAATTCATACTCAGAAAAAATCCAAATGAGCAATTATTAAACAGAAGTTAATTACAAAGTAAACATTTTACTAGTGCTAAAATATCCATGAATATAAAAGAAAACCCAGTTTACAAGGATGAAAACAACATAAGCATCTTACCAGTCCTTTCTCTCGTGCCGCAGCAAGTGAACCAGCAGACACAAAATCATCATAAGACACCTAAGATAAAATAAAATCATTCATAAGATTAATGAATGCAATATGCAAACTTTGACTGTGCTTAAAATTAACACAATAGTATAAGCAATAAAAATTAATAAATTTTAGGGTCTCACTTGATTCAGTTGCTCAAATTCAGTCAGAACCAGCTTTCATTTTTGTCTATACTAGAGCATTATATAACAGAAATAAATATAGAAAGTTAATCTTAGGATATTTAGAACAAATTCTAACTAACCAAAACATGTTCTTTACATAGATTCTGTGTTGATAGAACACTTTGAGAAAATCAGAAAGGAAATTTTCTGAATGTGCTCGAGTGAATTTTCCACTCACCAAATTGATCTATTGATAATAAGAATAGTTTCAAAGACAATAAATGATTCCAACTATTTAAGCACACAAATAAAATATCACAACTTCATAAGATAAATTGAAATCGGTTAAACATTAACTAAGCTACATGGAAAAGTAATAAACATTAAATGTTCCTATTTCCAATACTCCTCAAGCTGGAAAATAAATGTTTTCCATTCTCAACTTGCATATAATTCTTTCAAAATCTGAACTGCACAATTCTTTAGTAAGAATATCAGCAAGTTCACCTTCTGAAGGTACATAAGGAGTACAAATCAGATCACAGTGCATCTTTTCCTTGATAAAAATGTATATATCCACTTCAATGTGTTTTGCACAAACAGGTTGAATAGGATTATGAGCTATACTAATTGCTGATTTATTATTACAGTTTCATTAAGTGTAGCTGTGGATTGGAGATTTTTAAAAATCCAATCCAAATCCAATTAAATGGATTGGATTTAAAATTCATATCCATATTTTAGAAAAAAAAAATATTTTGTACTTTTTAAAAACAAGTTTGAAACTGGTTTTTGGTTTTAAACCGTTAAGACCAATTTTTTTGAAGGTAATTTTTAAACCAAAATTCAATTATATAACCAGTTTTAAACCAAAAATTGGTTTTAAAAACCAGTTTTGGTTCCTTTTGGAAGAAGGCTTAGAACATTTATGCAAATGATCTTCAACGGCTATATGACACTGCTCAAAAGTTATTCTCTCTCAAACAAACTAATGATGATATGTTTTCTCAAAATGCTGACGCTTAAGCTGCAGGGGAAGAACTACAAATGTTCCTTGATGATGACTCATTAGAAGGAATAAATAAAAAGCTTGAGGCTATATATGTTGCTGATACTACGAACATTACATCTAGATTTCAACCATGTTCACGACCAAATTGTAACCAGTTATGAAATTCCTTCAATGAACAGTGATGGAGTCTTCTTGAGTTGACACTCCATGGAATTTGCTCAAACTTATCTGTAGGATCCTTGAGAAGATTCAAGGTGAATTGAGTTGGAGGGAGAAGCAATATTGCACTATGATGAACCAAGAGCTTCGGATAGAAGAAAGTGAACCTAAATCTACAAAGAGAAAGGCTCAAGGAAACAAGGAGAAGAGATTTCCCCTTATGGTGACTTCGGTGGAGAGTAAGAATTATCTAATGAAGAAATTCTCAATATGCCAAAGTGAATACAATTTACGGCTAAAGAGAATTTATAGGCTTAGGAAGTGTGTGACAAGCTAGACTTGACCTAAGGTTAAATTAAACCATGGTATGGTTTAAGTTAACTTTAGGCGCCAAAATTTGAATTTAAATTCAAATTTTGGAGTCCGGCCATGTGCTTGGTTCAACCAATGAAATTATATTGTTCTAATCAAGCTGCCCTTTACATTGCCTCTAATCCTATGTTCCATGAGAAAACTAAACATATAGAGGTTGATTGTCATTTTGCCAGATGGAAGTTGTTGTGCAAGGAGATTGTTACTGAACTTGTCCATTCTAGTGAGGGAACCTTGAATCCAATTTTTGTGTCTTGCTTGGTGCATAAAATTTGTATACTCAAGCTTGAGGGAGTGTGTTAGATTATCTTGTTTGAGAAGATTCTTAATATTGTATTTTAGGCTTTTAGCCTCCTATATCAGATCAGTTTTTGTATTTTCATATATATATTTATATATATATATATATATATATATATATATAGAGAGAGAGAGAGAGAGAGAGAGAGGGAGAGAGAGAGAGGGAGAGAAATATCAACTATAAACAAATCATTGAAATAAGCAGAAAACTAAGCAACCAACGAAATAGGGCAATTAATCCTAGGAGATAATCTCATAATCTAAAATATTCTTAGATATGATATTTAATATCATGATTTATTTTTCACATAGTCTAACATAAACTTTGGACAAAAACTAACAACTCTTATCATTGATGTTTGTAAAGGATAGCCCCCTCATTATTCAGAATATTTAATATCAAAATCATCATCGTTTTCTTTTTGCATTTAATTTTTTACAATATTTGCAATGCAGTGTTATATGCTATTATAAATTACAGAGGTGTTCAAAATTATATCCTTGGAACTTACTGTCTCTGCTCGAATGAAACCCTTCTCAAAGTCAGAGTGAATAACTCCAGCAGCTTGTGGTGCAGTCATTCCTAGTACAACACGAAGCTTAAAATTTAGATGAGCAATCCAATCTATGTAGAATCCTTATATCGTGATTAATTCCATAGCAAAAACAAGCAATCAATCTTGGACAAAAAAGGTGCATATAATCATTTGTCACAAGCATTTGTCAACAAAGGGAAAACAGTATCTCTTCATTGCCATCCAGATATAACACAAACTCCATTTTAGTAGCCTGAATTTAAACTACCATATGGCCAATTACTTGAACAGGGAGTTCAGAAAAGGATAAAATCTTGTCAAATTAATGTCATTGTGCAATTTCAGTGACTCATTCATGGAGAAAAAACTAACCTGCAATTATAGTCCATGCTTTTGTCTCCTGTGTACAGGTTAGAAAACAAATTCAGTTTTGAACATGAAATATGATATATGGGGATCAAAACATTCAGATTTATAATTCAGGATGTTGATGAACAATTTTACAGTTCAGGGTAAACTAATTATTAATTACTAGAATAATCAAGCAATTCAAATCTTTGAAAGCTGGTACCACTAGATACATGTTTAACAGGATATTCCAAACTGCACTTCTCTCTAACAATTTTCCGGTTTTCCTCTTACCTTCTCACCAGAAGTAAAGTAAGTTCGCAGCCCCAAAAGTTCATAAGTTGCTCTAATTAGGTTACCAAGACCACTTTCACTAACACCAAGAGATTGCAAATATTCTTGTCGTTCTTCAGTTGGTAGTTCAGTAAGCTCTGCCTCAACCTGCCAGGACAAATAACATCATTGATTTGTAGTGGTGACTATACAAAAAATATCAATAATTGTTCTTTTAATCTTCAGAGATTACGATACAGACAAGCAACAGTTCTAAAAAGTTGATATTACCAAACTTCCCCAGTGATAACACATGAAAAGTTCAAATAATCCAAACATTATATGTGAAACTTGAATACGAAAGAAAACTTTATGACAAGGAAAGCAACTTCTGTCACATGCACACAACCCTATTGATACTTTTGTTAGAGAGCTTGCTCAATAAGCTTAACATTTGTACTGCCATTTAAAAAATAGGATTTATCGGGTAAATCCAAGTCCCATATCGACTAGAGATAAGACAAACAAAGTTTATAAGAGGGGCAAGTGGGCAACCCTCACCTTAATAGTTGTTTTTGTAGGGTTGAGTTATGCCCATAACGCACATTCTAAAATGGTATCAGAGTTAAGCCCCACCAAGAAGTCATAGAATCTATCCTGCTCAATATACTCTTTGAGCATTCCTGAATCTTCTAAGCACTTGGCTTTTATAACCCTGTAATGGTCTAACTCCATCCACAATGATTTGAGTTGAATGGCGTACTCTGTAATAGTTTTGTTTCCTTGTTTTGCAACCACAGTCTTCACCTTCACATCATATATTTGAGCAACATTTTTAGCTCTGGAGTAAGTTTGCACTATGGCATTCCAAATCTCCTTGGAGGAATTTAGAAACATGCAAGTATCACTAATTTCTAGGATCATTGAGTTTCATAGCCATGCCATGATCATAGAGTCCTCTTCATCCCATTTTGTAAATTTGGGATCTTCCTCTTTAAGGGCATCACCAATCAAGTGGCTAGCTTTCCCTTTACCTTTCAAAATAGTACGAACAAGTTGGGACCATTTCAAGTAATTCTTCCCATTCAATCTGTAGGCAGTGTGGAGGCTCTGAAGCTCTCCATGGGTTTGGAAGTTATTATCCCCTATTTCAGTTGTTGTGTTAACTAGTTCAACCATGGCTGCAATAGTATTGTAAATTACGACAACAATGAAGGTTGCCTTCAAAGGAATGATCAACAACAATGAAGGTTGTTGTCTAGGGTTTTGGGATGATCAACAACAATGAAGGCTGTTGTCTAGGGTTTTTGGATGATCGATAGCAATGAAGGTTGTCGTCTAGGGTTTTGGTTTGCGCAGTTAGAGGCAGCTCCCAGAATTTGAGAACTCTAATGCCATCTCAAAAATTAGGGTAGAAAAAAGCTATTCCCCTTTTTTATTATTATTTCTTATGCTGAGAATACATTAGTCATATATACAAGGTTGGAAAGTTAATTTAGGAAATACAACAATAGCACATATGCAATCAAATCCCTATGTAATAGAATTGTGAACAGAGAGAAAGAGAGAAGTCAGAAGAGAGGAGATGAGAGAATATTTCAATATGCAAAATATGTTTTTCACTAACTCCATAAAGAGTACAAGATGAGTTTATATAGAGCCAACATATGTTGGCCTATAATAAAAGCAATGAATGTGACAATAAAGTAGGAGATCATGAAATGATCTACATCACTATTGTACATATAATTAAGGAGTTAAACTATACTCCAATATCCCCCTGCAAGCTCAAGTAGAGGAGACTCGACTACTCGGAGCTTGGACCGAAGAACACAAAATCGCGAGAGATAGAGCTTTCGTAAGGACATTAGCACATTGATTGATGGCTGGAACATAGACTACTTGAAGATGCTTGGCAGCTACCTTCTCTCGAACAAAGAAAAGATCTAAATCCATATGCTTGGTGTACGCATGAAGAACAGGGTTGTGAGCAAGGGCCACAGTGCTCAAGTTGCCAAAGAAAATAATTGGAGTTGAACGAAGATTTTTAAGTTCAAAAAGTAAGGTTTGTATCCAAATAACTTCAGCAACGGCAAGGGCAAGACTTCTATATTCTACTTTAGTACTAGAACAAGCAACAACAATTTGGTTTTTTGGACCACCAAGACATAAGATTTGGTCCAAGAAAGATGGAAGCGCCTGACGTAGACCTCCTATCATCAGGATCAAATGCCCAGTCTTCATCACAGTAAGCTTGAATGGAGAGAGGTGAGTTGGAAGGAGCTGGTTGCAGATGTAGACCCCAAGATATAGTGCCCTTTAGATAGCGAAGGATACGTTTAATAGCAAACCAGTGATGTGCAAGAGCGTGGGACATAAATTGATAGACCTTGTTTACTGAGAAGTTAATTTTGGGTCTGGTTATGGTGGCATATTGTAATGTGCCAACTACTAATCTATAGAGAGACGCATCCAGAAAAACTTCAAAACCAACTTTTGATAATTTGCAGCCACCAATCATTGGAGAAGAAATGTGCGTTGACGCTCCCATATCCATGCGATTTAAGAGATCCATGATGTATTTTGATGGAATCATGCCAAGGCCAAGAAGACCAAGAGGTGATACATTGAAGGAACCAAGAGGAATGGGTTAGTCTTGAAGACCACAAGAGGATTGGGCCTACTTTTGGGTTAGTGAGCCATAGCTCATCTTGGGCTATGAGCCTTTAACTAAAAGCCCAATACCTCTCATATGATTGTGTATACATAGTAGTTACTTGTATAAGTTTATTTTGTCTTTGTATTTGTAAGGCGCTTTCTTTCTTTTCTTATAGGATATTCCTTTGAGATTTTAGGATATGTTACTTGAAGACTTCTGCTCCATTTGAACACAGAAGGATTGGGCCTACTTTTGGGTTAGTGGGCCATAGCTCATCTTGGGCTATGAGCCTCTAATTAAAAGCCTAATACCTCTCATATGATTGTGTAGACATAATAGTTACTTGTATAGGTTTATTTTACCTTTGTATTTGTAAGACACTTTCTTTCTTTTCTTATAAGATATTCCTTTGAGATTTTAGGATATGTTACTTAGAGACTTTTGCTCCATTTGACCTTGTATTAAAGGTCATTGATTTTCATATTTTTAGTAGCAGAAGTGGGGTGACAAATAGTAGGGTGTGTAGGTGTAACTAGTAAATGAGCTAGAAGTGGGCCTTATTAGTGTATAAAATCACAACAAAAAGGGAATATTTGTTTGTTAGCCCTTTTTTACGTTTTGCATTCTGTTACATCTTCAGAATCTTCCAGGGACACCTGTCCAGACACCTGTCTTTATTTTCTCTCTCTGTTGTTGCTTTTACAGCTGCTACTTTTATAGCTGTATTACCTTTTATTTATTTTCTCTCTCTCTGCTATAATACTGAGGGGTTCCCTATATATATTTTGAACCCGTGTATTCATTTTGCAGAGTAATGAAATGAAGTTCCTTTTTACATTTTTATCTCTTTCTACTTTTATCTAATATGGTATCAAGAGCCTTTGATCCTCCAGAACCCTAATTTTTCTTCTTCATCTCTTCTATGGCAATGTCAAATAATCTTTCTTCTTTTTCACAATTTTTCTCCAACTCCATAGCTGAAAAACTTGATGATTCCAACTATCTTCACTGGAGGCAGCAGATTGAACCGGTCATCAAGTCCCACAAACTTCAACAGTTTGTGGTTAATCCCCAAATTCCACCTAGGTATTTGACAGATGCTGACGTGATTCAAATACCGTTAATCCAGCATATGAAACCTGGGAAGTCCAGGGCCAAATGCTCCTCACATGGCTGCAATCGACGCTCTCGAAGACCATCCTTTCACGTGTCATTAGCTCAGTTCATTCTTATCAGGTGTGGGACAAAGTCCATGAGTATTTTCACACTCAAACTAAAGCACGAGCACGTCAGCTCCGCACTGATTTGCGTTCTACCACTCTTGATGGTAAATGCATGCGTGAATTTTTTACACAAATCAAAAACATTGCTAATGAACTTGCTGGAGTTGGAAGTCCTGTCACTTGAAGAATATGTTGATGCTGTTCTTGAAGGTCTGCCACAAGAATATGCACCTGTGGTCTCTGTTATTGAAAGTAAGTTCATCACCCCTCCTATTGTTGAAGTGGAAGCTCTTCTCCTTGCCCATGAGTCAAGAGCTAATAGGTTCCGTAAGCAATCTTTCTCTCCTTCTATTAATTACACTAAAGGTTATTCTCGTGGGGGTGTTAGTAGTGGATCTTTTAGAGATTGAGGTGGTGATAATAGTGGATGTCGCGGTGGTAGAGGTTCTGGAAGAGGCCGTGGTAGTTGATTTGCAAATTTTCAGTGTCAGATTTGCTTCAAGTATGGACATACTGCCAATATTTGCTTCTATAGAGCTGATGTCAATTATCAACCTGCAGACTCCCTTGTCCTATATGATCCTACCACAATGCAACCTGTGCAGGTCACCTCTTCATCAAACATTAAAGCCTCCAATACTTGGGTGAATCCTAATCAGAAACAGCTCAGCCAATATGCTCATGCCAATGCCACACCAAGTGATATGATTGCTAATACCTCTTCTCAAGGAGCTACTAATTCTACATGGATCCCTGATTTTGGTGCTTCGTTCCATGTTACTGGTGAGCCTCAGAACATCCATCAGCTAGAGCATTTTGATGGTCCAGACCAAATCTTCATGGGAAATGGTCAAGGTTTGCAAATCAATGGTTCTGGTTCTTTTTTTAATTTTTTAATTTGGTCAGATATAAATAAAATTTGTTATAAAAATTGATCTTTTGATTATTTTTTTTTGAATTAATTTTTTTAATTGATTTATTTTATACAAATTTTTAATCTAAAATTTATGTTGTTTTAAATTTATTTTTTAAAATTTATTTGTTTATATAATGTGATGTACCAAAACTCTTCAATTTTCATGGGTACCATAGCAATTCCTCTCAAGTTATTATTATTATTGCTGTCCTTACAACGTGGCTCATTTTCACTAAATAATTCAAGTCAGGTGTGGTATGGTTGATTGTAATATGTTGTTTCTTGCAAATGTTACTGAAAAACCGTAGTCGTCCTAACACTACAAGCATGCTGATAAGTGATAGGTATTAATCCAAAAGTATGTGTAACA